ACTGGAGAGGCGAGTAACTCTCTGGATCAAGCGAGGAATGCCTTGCCATAAATATTCTTTGTACATCATGTCAGAAATATACAGATATATTGGTTTGATGATCCTATTAAAATTAGCCGAATGGTGGCCATTTTTGTGCTAAAAAATCATCAAAATTAAGCATTTCTGGCATTTATAGATAGATTTTGTTCAAACTCGGTACATACATTAGACATTATGGTTCCTGATGCACATTATTTTATTGTTTAGATCAGATTCAAAATGGCTGACTCGTGGCCATTTTGTTCCAATATCTCTCAATACGCGTTTGACGATCAGATACAAATGTCAATGATTTAAATGTTAAACAATCATCATAATCATGTTCCTGACATGTTTATGTTCCTGCTTTATTACTATAAACAAAACTATATATCTTAAATTCGATAACTAACAAGGACTGTGCCATGCATGGCTTTTTTTTCATGGGGTATAAGAGTCTAAGCATTAAAAGTAATAATAAAGGAAGACTGATCTGCATCTTTCATTGTATCCAATTCACACAGTCAATAAAAACAGGGACTATGTCATCATTGTATCCAATTCACAGTCAATAGAACAGGGACTGTGTCATCATTGTATCCAATTTCACAGTCAATAAAAACAGAGACTATTTCATCATTGTATCCAATTCACACAGTCAATAAAAACAGGGACTATGTCATCATTGTATCCAATTCACACAGTCAATAAAAACAGGGTCTATTTCATCATTGTATTCAATTCACACAGTCAATAAAAACAGGGTCTATTTCATCATTGTATTCAATTCACACAGTCAATAAAAACAGGTACTATTTCACCATTGTATCCAATTCACACAGTCAATAAAAACAGGGACTATGTTATCATTGTATCCAATTCACACAGTCAATACAAACAGGGACTATGTCATGATTGTATCCAATTCACACAGTCAATAAAAACAGGGACTATGTTATCATTGTATCCAATTCACACAGTCAATAAAAACAGGGACTATGTTATCATTGTATCCAATTCACACAGTCAATAAAAACAGGGACTATGTTATCATTGTATCCAATTCACACAGTCAATAAAAACAGGGACTATGTCATTGACAATGACTTCTTGCATATATTTTCTCTTCTATTCAGATTCATATGAAGACAATGCCCCTATCCATGTATCGATTGTTAACCGGACAAGAACAGCCTGCATTTCTCTAGTACAGATTTAATATATGCCGTTATTGAAGTTGTAATGTGTTAACTATAAGTCTCCACATGGGATGTATTCAATGTGGATGAAAGTTTACTGAGCAAAAAAAAAAAAAATTGGGTGGGTCAATATGGAATTTGTGCTGCCCACACCTGCCAGATACGGTTAGTTCGTTAGCATATTACAACTTTACTTTGTACAGTTACTTGTGAAATGTTGGTACATTGTAATATACTTTATTAATGTAAGATGGTAGGTGCTGTTTGCCTTCAGCAATGTATTGATTGATATGGACAAATGAATGAGTGACAAGGCTTGAACTTGTGCGAATTGAATCCATGTTAGTGAATAAAAAGCGCCGCTGCAGTAAACTCTATACAGATTGTTAACTGTGTCTTTCATGTTTAATATTCAAGGAACAATTTTGTTATTTCTGACTGACAATTTTGTTTTGTTTTCACATTACTGATAAACTATTATAAATTTATGGCTTGAAATTTAGGTCTAGAAATACAGTATTTATGTATACCGATAATTAAAAAAACTATTTAGAATGTGCAAAGTGACTATCAGTGAGGTGTCACCTGAGGGTTGAGTACACCATCAAGTAGCTATACTAAGTGAATTTCATTGATCAACAAAGCATTAAAGGTTTCCAATGTGTTGTTATTTGTGGTTAAGAGATTCCTTGTGGAAAGTGAAAAAAAGAACAAGTGCTGTCCAACGGTGTGCTTCCATACTGCCCAGTGAGATTATCATTGTGTTTAGTGGCCTCATTTCCATCAATCTTTTCCAAGTGCCTTTTCCTTTTTAATTCAATGTACATGTAAGTATTTTCAATACTGTACAAAAGTGAAATAGTGGTGTTTATTTAATGATGACTGTCTGCAACCAATCAACTAACATATTGTGCTGTGCTGATTTAGGCAACAAATATCTTAATTTGATTCTGCAGTGTAAACTTTTAATGTTGTCATGTCATGTCTTGGCTAAAAACTTGTTTTTGATACATTGTAATTTTAGTCAAACCCAGCAGGGATTAATATAGATAGCTTTCACATAAATAATTGCATGTAAGTTATTGAACAAATATTTGCAATATAATAGCTGTACATTGTTGGGTAGCTATTATAGACTATTTTGGGTAGCAGTAAAATATAGTGACACAATTGGGTACCTTTAAAAATTTTAGTTCTGTGAAAGATTTGTAATAATTGCTTTGTTTCCATGGAAACTAGGCACATCCAATTTATAAAATATTAGTGTTTTGTGCCTGAAATTTTCAGAATTAAGAAAACAAATGTATAATCATGACTTGCAATTTATCGTATATATTTGATGGTTAGCAATTTAAAAATAATTTTTGCGTTTAATTTGCATGTTACTTTAATCTGATATTTCTATGGAAATTTTGTTCTTCCCTGTGCATACACTTTTTTGGGGAATTCTGATTACTTCATGTAATGCATCCTCTAAACCAAAAACAAATAAAACAATTTTAAATGTGTTTTTAATTACTGCTTTATTCTAGTGACAGAAGAAATAAGTTAACTGTGAGTTGTCCCCAACAAGCATTGCAGTTGTTTGACTTCATATAAGGAAGTAGTGCATCTAGCAATAAATGTTTTTAAAGTACACAGTGACTTGGGGAAAATAAGATTACCATGTGAACAATTAAATTTACTGTTGCATATATACCTTAACAATGTCAGCCAACTGTATATGGAAATGAATAAATATTCGATTATTCCAGACACATTCTTTTCAGTTTACCTCCCACCTGAACCCAATTTCATATTTTACAATACGAGTTTATGTACTCACAATTCCCATCTATTCTGTACATTCCTGTTTAATAATGAACTATGTACCAATAAAATTGGCAATCGACTAAGAACCTACTAGACCAATTTTTTTTTTTTTTTTTGAAGAGTAAGGAGATTGTGTAGAAAAACTCAGAAATATGCCATTTGGAAGTCTCTGAAAGCAAGGTATTTACTATACCTGAGATCAAGAATGCTTCTAACCTGCTGGGAGTGAACAGGTATTCTAGTTCCTGAGCGGACACAGTCTGAAAACGGGGACTTATGGATTGACCTCTGTGTGTGTTTGCATGCGTGCGTGCATCTGGACCTATATCATAGACTTGCCAGGACCAATTACTTTCAAACTTCACACATACATCGTACATAATATTATACATATGCACATAAATTTGTTTCATGTTCTATTAAAAAATTATCAAATATCAAGCATTTATGGCATTCATGAATAGATTTTGTTCAAACATTTTGTACATACATTAGACATGGGTTCCTGATGCACATCATTTTATTTTTCAGATCGGATTTAAAATTGCCAACTAGTGGCCATTTTGTTTTAATGAATGCAGTTCTAGTGCCATATATCTGCCATGCTTTGACTGATTATACTGAAATCTAAGTGGCAAAGTACGGCAACATAGTGGCAAATAACGGCAACGTAGTGTCAAAATACGGCAAATTACGGCAAAGTAGTAGCAAATTACGGCAAAGTGGTGACAAAGTACAGGAAAGTAGAGGCAACGTACGACATAGTAGTGGCAAAGTGCTGTAAAGTAGTGCCAAGGTAGTGGCAAAGTGGTGGGAAAGTACGGCAAAGTAGTGGCAAAGTAGTAGTAAAGTACGGGAAAGTAGTGGCAAAGTACAGCAATGTAGTGGCAAATA